GCTCCCGAAGCTGCGCCAGCCCCTCAGCATCCCCAGAGCCTCCCCTGGACTCTCTCCAGTGGCTCCTGGTCTCTCTTGACCTGGGCAGTCCAGATGGGCTGTGCTCAGTCCCTTCCTGATGGGTGGTGATGTTCCTGGGCAGGGAGCAGCCTGTTGGTGGCCGCTCCTCTGGGCGAGCACGCGTGGCATGAGCAGAGTCATCTCTGCCCCCGGTGCTGGCGTGGCTCCTGGCTGTGACACCCTGTCCTGGTCCCTCCTCCTGGCAGTGTACCACGCCATCTACCTGGAGGAGCTGACGGCGCTGGAACTGACGGAGAAGCTGGCCCAGCTCTTCAGCATCTCCTCCCAACAGATCAGCCAGATCTACAAGCAGGGCCCGACGGGGATACACGTGCTGATCAGCGACGAGGTAACGGCCTCCGGGTGCTCCTTGTCCTGCACCTCTTGTGCTGGGTTGCTTCAGCTGCTTTGTGTCTGATGGAGCACTGAGCTCTGCTGTGGAGGTTGCTCGGGACCCTGGGGAGCGGGTCCCCCAGGCAGATCCCTGGGAAGGGCCCTGCACAGTCACCTCTGGTTTCCAAAGGGTTTGAGTCAATCGTTGCAGCCTGTAGAGCCGAGGACAGTGGCACCTGGGGCTGCTGCTCTGCTGCTGGGGGCACCTTGCTTAAACCCAGGAGGTTTACTGGGCCTAAACAGCTCTCCCCAAGGTCGTCCAGGCTGCGTGCACACCATCCTTCATACTCGGGTTTCTTCTGGCTTTGCTAGAGAAAGAGGAAGGGGAATTGCTGTGGGAAGACTTTGCAGGCAGACCTGCATCCCAAAATCCAATGGTTTCTCTTTTGCCTTGCTGCTTTGGACCTTCAGTTCTGGAGAGCTGGAGGAAGGAATAAATATTTATAGCTGGTGCTTTTTCCACCTCCCAGAGCACTAAGCTCCTGTCTGAGCAGCTTCGAGCCCTTTTGTTGCTCTAAATCCATGCCCATGACTGAACGTTAGAAGACAGAGCTGCGCTCGTGGCTGTGGAGCACCCGCAGGGTTTAGATAC